TTCTTCCGCTGTCTTCACTTCTGTGCCCATTTCTTTGGGCAAGAGTCCTCTCCCTGTTCCTGGGGATAAGGCAGGAAAATGGAGTTGAGGATTATCAGATCAGCTGTGATTTCATTGAATGGCAGGGTGAACTCAATGGGCCAAATGACCTACTTCTGCCACTATATCTTATGGTCTTACATAGGAGTACAGTCTATACTGCTAGGTAAGTACATCTCTTTCATATGGAAAATCCCAGAGAAACGTGAGGTCTGGCGGCATCTTGGAGAGAGAAACAGTGTTAATGTTTCGAGTCTGGCATGAGACTTCTGAAGAATTTTTTTTGGAAATGAGATGAATTATAGGAGAAATTGTTCAAAGTGCAAACAAGCTTGGCCAGGCAAGGGAGAGTCATGGTGCATGGAGACTGTACAGGTCTCTTCTCAAGGAAGAGGCAAAGGGCTTTCGGACCATCCTGATGGGAGATGAATGTGTAGAGGGATTGCACATCCCTAGTGAAGAGGAGATAGCAGGAACTGCTGATGCTGGATTCTGAGATAACACAGTGTGGAGCTGGAGGAATACAGCAGGCTAGGCAGCATCAGCTTTTCCTGCTCCTCTGTGTTTCTCCAGCTCCACACTGTGTTATCCTAGTGAAGAGGAGGTGGCGAGGACTAGAAAACTAGAAATTATGGAACTGACATAAAGCATTGAAAGAATCACGAATGTAAGTGGGAAGAGACTGAACAAGGGAGTCGGAGTGTGAATAAAGTCAAGATAGGACAAAATAAGTTCAGTCGAGCAAGAACAAGCTGAACAAGATCTACCAGCAGAGTCCTGTTAATGGATTTTGGGAGGAGACAGTGTAGTGTTGAGGACAATGGAATGGGAAGCTACAGAACTTAGGGAATGAGGTCTGTGAGAGTCCTACAACAATAGCTCGGTCTCTATTCTATAGAATGTTCCATCTCCCTTGTCAGACTTTAGCATACAGGGGATGGTGGCACAGTGGTTAGCACAGCATCAGGACCCTGGGTTGATTCCAGCCTTGGGTGGCTGTCTGTGTGGAGCTTGCACATTCTCCCTGCGTCTGTGTGAGTTCCCTGCAGATACTCTGGTTTCCTCCTACAGTCCAAAAGATGTGCAGGTTAGGTGAATTGGCCATGTTAAATTGCCTGTAGTGTGCAGGGATGTGCAGGCTAGATGGATTAGCCATGGGAAATGTGAAGTTATGGTCATAGGGTTGGGTTTTGGGTCTGGGTGGGATGCTGTTCGGAGGATCAGTGCAGACTTGATGGACCAAATGGCCTCTTTCTGTACTGTAGAGATTCGACACAACTGATCACCATCTCATGGCCTGTCACATGAACTTTTTACTCTATAGACTCTCCCATGTCCTCCTTTCCCACAGCCCTGCAATCTCATTCCTTATCAAATATTTAACAAAGTTCCTTTTGCTAATTAATATTGAATCTGCCTTTCAGGCATTGTAACCCAGATTACAAAATTTACATTGCAAAGAAAAAAAGTCCTCATCTCCCCACGTTCATGAGTGTTAGGGTGGGGTGGGGAAGGTGAATAGATACATCCATTTGGCTTTTAAAGTGATAGTTTTGTGTAGTATCTTGTTGGGGAGATTCACATCTGGGAAGACTGAGCAGACACTTATCTCCTTTTTTTTGTAAAAAAAAGAACAGTAAGCTTGTGATTAACTTGCTTGCAGTTCTGTGGATCAGGACCACATCTTTCGAAGCTGTAGCAATCTGCAGCTCCTGACGTTTCCCCAGCAACAGGAGACAATGACTGTGAAGCAGTGAAGAAGTGCAAAGAGCTTCTGTTTGAGCTATTATTCCTTCAACCAGGCACGTACTTACTGATCAGCATACGGTCTTATCAGGAGCTGCCACATGTTGGCCTTGGGAGCCTGGCACTAATGAGGCATTTGTGATCTCACAGACTATCACTTTTGTGCGTTATCAGGGGGCTGACACCAATCTCCTTGAGTGACATTCTGCCTGTGTAATTAGAAAAAGCAGCTGAAAGCCAACACAAACAAGAAGCAGCCACTCAGATTCTGCTGGGCAACAGAGTTGTTTTGAATAACAGTCTTTTTTTAAGCCAGAGTGTGGCAGCTACAAATCAACACTGTATACCCAAGTTTGATTAAAAAAAATTAATAACGACCATTTTCGTTCCATGACATTTAATCAGAATCCTGCAGAGTTCTCAATCATTTGCCTGCATTTATCAGAACATTTATCCTCTTATTTAAGATAAATACAATATGCATTTAAAGAATAAATCTAAGACTCTTTACATACAGGACTGTCTCCAAAAGAGCCCAGCTAATTCTGCAACGACCCTCCTTTCTAATGGCAAGCAAGATAGTTTGACTTTTTGTTTCTTGGAATCAACTATTTGCTTGGTCTGTAAAATAGCACTGTATACATTGCTTGTGTAGTTGTAATATAGTAAAGGCATCGCCATATGTCAAATCCATAATGAGGTTTCTGCTATCCATGGTTACACCTTAAAAACGTTGCATCATGTCACCTTAAGCCATGCATCCCTGAATTTGTGTCAGTGTAAATTTAAATTGCCCATTCCTTAATAACAAAATCTTTGCAGTTACTATTATGAGAATTATTACTTATGGATCAACAGTCAGAAACAGAACCTTCCAGCTTTCTGCACAGCACTAGTCTTCTGTTCTAGAGTAAGAATGCACTCCTGCTTTTTCTAAATTAAGACAATCTTTTTTACTTGAACGAACTTATCCTAAAGTCAAAAAGAAATTACCTTTGTTTCTCATTGGTTGATGCCCTATCTATGATCTGTACAGCTGGCTGTACTCACAGAAAATGATGCTGCTTAAAGGTGAGAAACTTCCCCTTTCTTCAGATTCTCAGCTATCCAAGGGTGGTACGGTGGCTCAGTGGTTAGCACTGCTGCATCACAGCAGGGATCCAGGTTCAATTCTAAGCTTTGGTGACTGCTTATGTGGAGTTTGCACGTTCTCCCTGTGTCTGTGTGGGTTTCCTCCCACAGTCCAAAGATGTGCAGGTTAGTTGGATTGGCCATGCTAAATTGCCAATAGTGCGCAGGCTATGTAGATTAGCCGCGCTAAATGCAGGTTTACAGGTGGGATGCTTCCCAGAGTGTTAGTGTGGACTTGATGGGATGAAT